TCTTCCTTTCAATTTCTTCTTCATCCTAAATTAGAAATCATAGGCTACTTGCTTTCAATCATATCAAGTGATCCCACTATAACTATCCTTCCCTTTATGAGTTGTTACAATCACATCCTCAGTTTTTTTTTTTCTAATCTACATCAACTTTTTTACATTTAAATAGTTCTTATATTCTTGGGGCTTCTATTTAACAATCTCTGCTGTAACAGGCGGGTGCACCAGGGGCTTTATTCGAAGATAAGCCACAGTCTGCTAATGATGCATGGAGGAAACTGCATTCGGATCCTTTGCTTATGATAAAGCAGCGTGAACAGGAAGCACTAGCTCGTGTAAAGAATAATCCAGTCCAGATGGCCATGATCCGTAAATCTGTAAGTTAAAAATTTTGTTTTTATTAGAAAAGCTTTGTAGGGTTATTTTCGATGACAAGGAAGAGAAAGGGCATTCATGTCTTTTGATACATATGGAAGATAGCCCAACAAAGTGTCTTGTGTAATAAACACAGTGTATCTAACCATCATAATTTTGTTTATCAGGTTGAAGCAAAGAAGCAGAAGGATAAAACCTCAGACAAAGAAAAACATCACCGCAAGAAATCAAAACATGAAAAACATACAGTTTCCAAACATCGTATGAATTCTGATGATGATGATGTCCGACAGGTGGAGGAACGCTCAAGGAATGCCGCCAGCAATAGGGTTTCACCGGAAAGATATCACAGGGACAGGGAAGAGCGGAGGCATCATCGGCCACCAGTTCATAGAAATAGCAATGCACTTTCGAAAGAGGATAGGGCTAGAAAGCTTAAGGAGATGCAAATGGATGCTGAGCTTCATGAAGAACAAAGATGGAAGCGGTTGAAGCAGGCGGAGGATGATGATGCTAAGGAGATTAGCCATGGAAGTTCAGGTGGGCGGAACTTCCTGGATGCAGCTCATAAAAGTGTTTATGGGGCTGAGAAGGGCGGCAGCTCCACCATAGAGGAGAGTGTTCGCCGGAGAACACATTATTCACAACGGAAGAGTGAAGGGAATGCATTTAGGCGGTAGGCAGCCTACTAATTATTGTATCTGTTGGAAATGTTTTGAGTTGAGTTGCTGATTTGATATGTTTGATTATAACAATGTACTTTTTTATTGATTGTTCATTATATATATCGAAAACAGTTTTTATTGTTACAGTTGAGTAGATTTTGGAACTTATGTTTACACAGAACGTCCATTGGAGAACATCACACCATGAATAAATACATAAATATCATCATCTAATTTGTCTTGGCATCATAACATGAATTACAAGTTTTAAGAGTATTACCACACCCAAACCCATCCCACCTAATGAAACATAAATTATATATATATATATATATATATATATATATATATATATATATATATATATATATATTTCTATAAAGAAACTGCACAAAGTAGAAAACAATTCCGATTCCCCGACCCTGGGATGAATTCCAAATTCAATTGGCTCAGCCTAATTTTTAATCTTGATTGTTAACCGGCATTCCATAAACAACCGGATGTTGCGTTAGGCTGGAGTCAAGTATTTGGTGAGTTAACCCGAGGCTCACTCTTTGCTTCTTCATAACCGGTGAGCCACGGTCAGAGTCTGGGGTTAAGGGCTCAAGTTCATTGGTGGCGGGGGCTGGGGCGGAGTGTTTGATGATGGGGGGAGGTGGAGATGGAGTGATAGGGTCGGTTGGGTTTTTGGATTCCTGGCAGTTGTCGTCTGATAGGACTTCACTCAGCTTCTGTTGCTCTTCGATGATCTTCTTTAGGTACTTCCCTTGGGCTTCTATTCGTAATTGAAGCTGTCTTTGGACCTATACACTTTCATCATATATGTAAGCTACTTTACTTTACTTTGAAAAACCTATAGCATTTTATTTTAGGCAAAATAAGACCTCTAATTGCTCATGCAGTCGCTTTTGCACCTCCATCTGCAGCTTCAGTGCTTCTGTAATCTGCATTCCACTGCACAAACATATTTCAGAAGAAATGTATATCAACAATCCTTCTCAATACTTCCATTCCATCAGACAATACAAAACAAACAAGACTTACGATGATCCATCCAAGCTGGAAAGCATGTCACCCGATTCTTTCTGGTCAAACACTTTTCCTTGCATTACCAATTTCACCCAAATAATCAGCCACCACATCTCTTCTTTTTTGAATTACATAGTAAAAGATTAAAATACAGAATACCTTCAGAAGAGGAATCCGGGAGGTATTTTGCCAGCCTATATTTCTGCAAGTGGCTCTTGACATGATAAATTGTTAGACCTTGAACACCCATCACTCTCAGCACGCCTTTTGGTGTAGCCCCTGTAAATCACTCATGCAATTAAAAATAGGACTACATGCAATATATAACAACATACTTTCATTTAGTACTACTCTATTAATAGCATATTAGCATTGTAATTGTAATTTTTTCTTATTAACACAGTGTAGTTTAAACGAGCCACCCAATAATAATTCACAATTTAGGACATACTAATACTTTGACAAATCTATCTGTGAAAATTGCTTTGTATTTTGATGATATTGCTATAACAATAGGGCAGATTTTTGATTTTTCAGAGTAGAAGATTGACAACTGAGATAGGAAGAAATGAAGGTAGGAGTGAAAGTAAATTGATAATTTGATATTTCCTGATTTAACCCTAAAAATTAATGGAGGCACAGCTGCAAGCCAATTCCTTGTTTGGTTGAATGGAATGGATTAGACACAACAACAGGTAATGGAATGGCACATCACATTCCATTATTCTTTCCTGGTGTTTCTGTTTCTAGCTTAGATGATATTTGCTTATTTCATATAAACAATGAAATACCAACATTTGAGGAAACTGGTGGTTAAGGTTATGACAACAAGGATAAATTTGTAAATAGTAAGGACTTAATGGGGAAAGCTTCTTTTCATCAACTATATTTATTAAACCATTCTTTCTACATTAAGCGAAAAAGAAACACCCATAAATAGCTCCTCGGAGTAAGTCCATTAAGTAAAAAACAAACAATAGCTTAATCCCTCTCCACTTAGAATTACAGAGTTTGACTTGAAAAAGATATTAACAAACCATTAACACAGATACCCAATATATCTTTTCACTTCAACATAAAGATCTTGTGGACCAAATTGAAGCATAACAGCTTTTGTAATGATTAACATACGACTATATATTAGTTCACTTAACAAATTCTCAAAAATGGAAACATTTAGACTTCTAAGAAAAACAATTTATTCCAGTTCTTGTGCAATAGAAAGACACACATGCATAGTCTAATGCCCTGGAAGTATGTATAGTGATAGTCTGTTTATATATAGAGAGAATGGTAGAAAATTCAACTATTTGCTCAAAAAGAAAGAAAATGCAACCAATAAACTTAAGTTTAAAAAATGAAGATCAAGACAACTTACTATCAGGGCCACCCAATTGTGCCACAGCATCAACAAATCGTTCATGAAGCTCATGTGTCCAACGAAGGCGTTGTTTAGAAGCTAGACTTGAGCTGTTTTCATGACCATTAGCTCCACTCACCACATCCATAATAATTTGCACCACTAATTGCTTGATGATCAACACATAATATCTTCTTTCCTAGACTTAAACTAGAAGCACCCTTCACTTGACACACATTTCATTCACCTAAATGAAAATGAATAACAAATTAGCATAGAAACCCTCATAAAAATCAAACCTTGATCAGTATCTATTCCAAAACAGGAGGAAACATTGTGTAAGTATAAAAAGTTGAACCCAAAGAAAGTGAAATATGTAAGTGCTAAAATACAGACATGAAAACAAGTTGGCTTTATAATTTAGAGTAATGATTTATTTACACTTTCGACGAATTTAGGGCTAATACGTTTGGCTAATGAAATTAGTCTTAAAGATGACAAAAGTATTGTATATCATTCCAATAGCAAAAACATAATCAACAAAAACTTCAACCATATTGCTGATCTCACTCATTCAGCCATGGAAGAGTAAGGTCTACACTGATCCCAATTACAATTGGTACTAAGCTTATCCAGAAACAGGCAGCTAGATAAAACAAGTGAAATTAAAAAATTGTACAGAAAAAGCTACAACAAAGTTCATAAGTATGAAAACCAACCATCAATGGAAGAATTAATAAACATAGAAGGCTATAGAAGCATCAAACAACACAATAGAGTGCAGAGAAAACAACTACAAAAGTAGAGAGCAAAAGGAAAAGGCAGAAACTGAACCATGTATCCCTCTAAAACATATTGTTTCTTTTTTTTACTTAATGGACTTGATCTGGTAAGTTAAATGGGTATTTCTTTATAACTTAATTCAGGGGAAACAATTACTTCATACTCATAGAGAAAGTTGGGGAAAAGAAGGTTTTCCTCATTAAGTCCTAAACCTTGTACACATTTATCTCATTTGATCACTTCCATTTGCGCAAGAATGCCTATGTTTTTAGACATCATTTATCCAGACAGCACTTGTCAAAACAACAATTCATGAGACAGAAAAAAACAAGGCTGTATTTTTCTTAGTTGAAAGATAATAACAAAAAATGTACAGAACAAGCAGCTATTGGAAATGGAAAGGCCGTGAAAACAATGGTATTGTCTAATGCAGGATCATTCTATTTGAGTATCTATTTTTGTTATACAAAAATGGCAGAGTTCACTGATTCCAATTCAACCAGAAAGTATCTTTAGGCAAAGCGAAAAACTGGCTGAAGATCCCGAGAAAGGTTAAAATTAAGGTGATCTAGAAGCTATTCACGTGACTCGATCAGATAGGATCGTCAGATTATTAAGGTATGAAAGCTCACGGATTATTCAGAAAATTGAATTCGTACAGAAGTTTATGTTATGCATCTAAATCACGATAGCATAAAATTGAATTCGTACAAAAGTACACAAACGGAATCAATATTTAGGTACAAAGTTAGGGTTGAAGTGAAGCAACTACACCTCCATATAGTTGCAATTCAATCGACTGCTTCCGATGGACTGCAAACTGTGAAATTGGAATGGAAAATTTTGTTTAGATGTTTATGCAATTGATAAGACGTGATACAGAAGAAGAAGAAGAAGATAACACCAACCGGCTCCAGATGCCAAAGAATCAGATGCACAGAAGGATAGAAAAACCCCCGGGATTTGAACGTTGTTTAAAATTTGGAGGAGATGAGATCGAAGTGACAATGGAGGGAGCTGATTGGATTGCGCCTGCTGCTACAGTGATATGGGTATGGCTATGGATTGGCTATGGCTATGGCTATGGCTATGCTATCTCCTTCTGCCTCCTGGTAGTGGTTTGGGCTGAAGGAAGAAAGAAAGTCCAAAGGCAAGTCATCATCCATTGGCTATTGCTATTGGTGTAAATTGTTATGGTGATGCTTTGCTTTTCACGTTTTTGTCTTTTTCATCGTTTCATCTCTTGGCTAACTTCCCTTTATTTCTCATTTTCTAAGCATTACAATATTATTATTTTCATGTTTTTCTAACATATTCATTTGTTAGAAAATTCAAAAAGTATATATTTTTAATGTCTTTATTTATTTTTATATTTTTTTCTCCATAATTTATGTTCCTTCATAAGTTCATATCAAATAACCTTATCAATGTTAACATAAACTAAAAAAAATATCAAGTTTTCTTTCGTAAATACATAAAAATAAATAAATATTAAGACTTATGTCAAAGGATTTATTTTTTATTTTTTTTAGCAAAACATACAATATTAATTAACTTCTAAATATAAATACAAAAAAAGTTGTTTGGAATTATCATAAAAAATAATTTGTCAAGGAATTTTTTTAAAAATATGCCCCAAATAACACCAATTATGTCCAAAATAAGCCTCACAATGTCGTTTCCTTTAAAATTTTGTCTTCCTAGTCCTTCCCAAAATTACAATTATATCTAAAATATGCATCAACTTCATTTTAAAATGTTTGTTTCCCTTTATGTTTCTTTCAAAATTTTCATTAATTTATTTTAACCTCACACGTCTCCCTTTCTCGTTTCAGATCATATTTCTCTCATATTATTTATCTTTTTAACATAAGTAAAACAATAAACAACAAAAAATCAACGACCGACAATAGTACAAATAGAATAGTTAACAGGAAAACAAACAAATAACACTACACTATACTAATGCAAGTGATCTAATTAAGTGAACAACACCAATTTACTAAACCTGTAAAGTTTTGTTAATAAGACTCTTTTATTTAAAACTTCGAATTATTATATTCAAGCCCCTCATTCTATAATATTGTGTGATGAAATTGTATTTGAAGTGGTGTTCTCACAACCCACCATGACTAAGAATTAGTATTACAACAATTTAGTTCCTAAACTCTTATCTTTGTGAGATCCATAACCATTTATATGATATTCTAAATTTTTCCCCCTTATCGTTCTTTAGATATTTTCTCAATATTTTTCCTATTATATAGTATGATAATAATCTTTCTTTCCTCAACAAATCCAACAATATAATGGTGGTTATTTGTTTAAAATGCTATGTATGAGTGAATACTCCCTCTTTGAGAGTTATTTGGTTGCTCGGTTTCCAAGTCTAAAGGATTAGGAAACATTACCATTTGACATTTGTTTAGAATTATAAGTTAGAAGCCTTTGCATTAATTTAGTATTTTGGTTTCTTAGCTTATAATATAGGTTTAGTTTAATTATTTTAATCATCGTAAAGTCTTCTCCCATTCCCCTCCCAAAAAAATTATATAAAAAAAAAAAGGCTTTCGATAACCATGAATTCATACATGTCTATTTTAATATATAGTAGTTTATGGTAGAAATTGTGTTGTTGAATAGTCATATCATAATACCATTGGTTGATTAAAATAAGTAAAATATTAAAAAACTAAAACTAAATCCAAAAAACATTTTAAATGCTATTTAAATATCATAAAATCCGACATAATTAAACGTGTTTGTTCATGTGCTAGTGGACGCAGATGATAAAATTGCACCGAGAACCATGCCATAAAAAATGTAAGTTTATTGACATTACAAGAAAAATATATTTCCATATTTGTTTATAGTAAAGGGTAAGTAGGTTCTTATTTTGTGCAAAATTTTGGTATTTTATATTGATTAAAATAAAATAATGTCAAGTCCACTCCTACCAACAAAATACAAGCCAAAATCAACCTTACAAATACAACTAAAAACCGAACAATAGAAAATCATTACCAAAATGGTACATTTCCCTACCCTAACTTTCTTATCAAGTCCGAAAAAGTAAATAAAAGCAAATTTATAAAAAGTTAGGACTTTGACAGTTGAAAGTGCATTCCCTTCTGACATTCTTTATCAAGTCGTTGTTTCTGTATTAAGTCAAACTTACCAGATAAAGCCATCTCCCTTCATCCACTCACCTCCACCACATTACTAACAAATTTCAAATCTCTACAACCCTCACTTGATTTCAACAACTCCTTTGCAACTTCCATCTCACCATTTTCTTCCAAATACTTCACACATGTCCTCAAAGTAACTTCATTTAGCTTCCAATGATCACCATTACTCAAAATCGCCTTCCTCATTGCATCCAGAGCCTTCTCCATCTCTCCATTTTTACAAAACACAGTTGCCAAAATATCCCACGTGCTTCTAGGAGGTTTCTTACCTTCACTAACCAATCTCTCTACAAAAGCTTCAGCTTTCTTCCAATCACCCTTCTTGCTATACCCGTTGACCAAAACATTAGCTACCCAAAAGTCAAACATTGGAGTTACTGATTCCCATTCCTCCACAATCTTTTCTACTCCATCAATGTCATCCAACTTCACTAATGAACTTACCATATGGTGATACCCTTTGTTATCAACTTTCCTCCATGTTTTCTTGTACAAATTCCATATACGATAAACATGATCCTTTTTACCTAAACTAGCGTACATTGTAAGCAAGATTTCATAAGCAACACCTTTTGTATTCTGAAAGATGTTTTCCTCTGATTTCTTTAACATTTCTAGGGTTTTCTCAACTTGATTAAAGTTTAGATACCCTTTTGCAAGAATGATGTAAACATGCCAATCGAGGGGGAGGTAAGGATTGGCTTCCATGTAAGCAAGAAGATTTTCCATTGACTTGATGTCAAAAGAAGCGTATGCTGTTAACAGAATGTAATATGTTTGTCTGTGATAGCGAACATTTGCTTTATCCATTTGGTCAATGAGTTTGACTAGCTTCTCGTGGTTTTCGGTTTTGGTGTATAGACTTAACATGCTATGGTAGGAATGTGTAGTCATGAACCCTAACTGTTTCATCTTTTCCATGGTGGCTTCTGCTTTTGTTAAGGATTTCTTGAAGGCGTAACAGTTTAAGAGTGTTCCATAGACTTTGAAATTCTTTAACGAGTCTGGGATTGATTCGAAGAACTTCTCAGCTTGTTCTAGACCGTGGACTCTTGAAATCAAATCCAAGTGAATCGCAAGGTTTCCAGATGATTGGTCAAGGTAACTTCTGTTAGTCATCCATTCAGAGAGCTGAAATCAGAATATGTAGCAAGATATTTAGGGCTAAAAAGTGCAAATTTGTACATCGTTCATATTTTGAAGCCAATCCAAGTTATTTCATGTTCAAATCAAAGGATTTGATCACTAAATGATGGCCAACAAAATTTCAACTTCTTATACCAGAATGGCAGATCTACAAAGAGCAAATGTAGCCTAACTTTCATATCATAGTAACGTAACGGCTTTAAACAAAGCGAAGATAGAATCATGTACTAACCTGGAGGGCTTGGGAATATCGATTGTGATTCCTGAAAACTTTGATCATGTTTTTGAGCTCATCAGCTACGATATTTTTACCTTCTTGTACCCATTGATCGAGTATCGAAACAATGGAAGTCTTCGCCGTTATTGCCGCCGGCGATATGCGCTTATACAGAGCATCATGATTTCGAATAATAGGGCTTTGTGCGATTGTTGAGGAAAATGAGTTTTTAAACAAAATTCTAGAAATGCGATTCGAATTTGATAATAAAGAATGATCAGCAAAATTATAGGAGCGAAAAGCCATCATTGATTTGAAAGATTTCAAGACTTTCTGGAAGCTAAGCGTAAGCTACAGGGAGGTCTGAGGATTTAAGGGTTTACTGGTTTAAGTTAGGATTCCATCAAAGGAAATGTTTGATGAATTTCACCTTTTGGTCTCCATAGTTTCTGTATTTTGCAGAATAGCCACATTTGTTTTGGTTTTCAAATTTTTTGTTACATTAATCTTGGAGCATGAATTTTGATTATTAAAAGTAAAGGAGTTTTCTAAGTTTAGTTATTTATGTTTTGTTTGTATGCGTATCTATTTTCAATTGATTGAAAAACTATAAGACCCACCACATTATTGAAAAAGTTCAAAGAAAAGTTTGTTCATTAAGGTTGTGTTTGGCGCGTCACAGCTAGCTGATAAGTTAGCTTATTTTTCGAATTTTTTTATGTTGTCGTGTTTGAAAGCAAAAAAGTAGCTTATAAGCTAGCTTTTTGAAAAGCTACTTAGGTTGTGTTTGGCGCACCACAGCTAGCTGATAAGCTAGCTTATTTTTCGAGCTTTTTTATGTTGTCATGTTTGGTAAACCAAAAAATAGCTTATAAGCTAGCTTTTTTAAAAGCTACTTAGACTAGCTTTTTAGTAGTTTTTTAAAATTTTCCAAATACACCCCTTAATTAATTATAGAAACACATACTCTTACATGTCCTTTTATGTAATTTGATATATTTTAGCTAGCTTTTCAGCTAGTTTTACCAAACGTTAATTTTTATCAGCTAACTTTTCAGCTATCAGCTAGCTTTTTATTTTGCAGCTAGATTTTCAGCTATCAGCTAGCTTTTCAGCTAGTATGTCAAACATAGCCTAACTAGCTTTTTAGGAGCTTTTTTAAAAGTTTCCAAATACAACCCCTTAATTAATTATAACAACACATACTCTTACATGTCCTTTTATGTAATTTTATATATTTCAGCTAGCTTTTCAGCTAGTTTTATCAAACGTTATTTTTTATTAGCTAGCTTTTCAGCTATCAGCTAGCTTTTTATTTAACAGGTAGTTTTTCAGTTAGTACGCCAAACATAGTCTAACAAGGTCTTTAAGAAGGTTTTAGTTTGAAAAGGAACACAAAGTTTGAAAAGGAATACAAAGATAAAAGGTTTTGGTTTGAAAAGGAACACAAAGTTTGAAAAGGAATACAAAGATAACTATACATCATCTCTTATAGAGGAGACAAGTGTTTAAAAGGGAGAGTACTCACCCCTTGCACGATTCACTTCCCAACTATAATTGTTTAAGGTGAGAAAAACAAACTGTAAACTGAAAAACCGTAAAAAAAATTAAAAAATCAAGACCACAAAACCAAAACCTAACATAAAACTGATGGTTTGGTTTCTACTTTTTCAAAAATAAAAATATTTGATTCGGTTTCGGTTTTAGGAATTAGAAAACCACAAAAAAAATGAACCACACTAGTTTGTATAAAATGCTTATTATATTTAATTTACATATATTATATACAAATGTAACACCCGTTTCAAGTATACGTTAATTTCTTATTTAAACTTTCATTTTTGGGTGACCACGGCATGGTGGAGCTTCACCACGACATGGAAGTACTTTTTATGATTGCGAGATTTTAATGACCCGCCACGACATGACCATGGGTGTCATGGGTGAGATGATCGATTGGTTTTGTTAAAAATTCAAAATAACGTGTTTTCTATTTCTCCTCACGCGTTTTTTGTTTCGCCTCTCACGCTTTCTTTTTCTCTTCCATCTTTTCTGTAACGTCTTGTTATGAATCGTTACCCATTTGGTTGTGGGTGATGAAATGTAGATGGTTCGGGCATTCAGAAGTGGTTTTGGTGCTTAGGGGCATTTTGGTAATTTGGCAGCGGGCTTTTATGGGATTTGGATTTTGTGTTCGGGGAACTTTAAGTCCAGTACGAGTTGATAATAGTGTTGAGCTTCTCGATACTTTTTCATGGATATAAGGATGGTCGGAACCGGAGTCGTATCGAGAAAGTTATGGTCTTCGAAAGAATTAGGGTTTGGGGAAAACCCTAGTACGCGAGGCGTACAAGGGTGGTACGCGGGGTGTATTGATGCGAAGCCGGGTACGCAAGGTGTAGCGAGGAATACATATAGCGTAGTGTGATAATGGGTCAGGGTGCGAGACCTCGTACGTTGGGTGTACAAGGAAGTACACTGAGCATACGAGAGGGAGATGGAAACACTAATTTTTAGGGTTGTACCCTTTATAAGCTTGATGTTAGCCTATTTCCTTCATTCCTAAGTCAACATCCACCCTCTAAAAACCCTAAATCGAACTTGTAGCCTCTTGGAGGTGTTCTTGAGCTATTTAGGAGGCTTTGATGCTCATTTTTGCCCTTAGGAAGGAAAGAAGAAAAGCTTGAAGTTATTTGGCTTGGTGGGAAAGCTTTGGATCCAGATCAACACCTTGTGGGGATGCTTTTTGAGGTAACAAGTTTCTATCTTGGCTTGTGTATGATTAGATCTCTTCATGGAAAGTTTATTATGATTTTGGTCTTCTTCTTGAGATTATGCACAAGTTAGGTTGTTTAAGGGTTCATCATTTCAGATGTAAGCTTATTTTGGTATCCTTGAGCATAAAGGTGCAAGCTTTATGTGTATTATGAATTCATGCATGCATTAAGTCATCCATTAAGTCCCTTTCTAGCTTAAGAGCTTCTTTTAGCCATCTGTGAGCATAAAATTGGCAACTTTACGTGGTATTCCAACTCAAGGAGGTCAGATCTGTATATTTGGAAGCTTTGTCTTAATAGATTAAGTGAAAAAGGAGTTTGGGGTGAATAAGGGTGACTACGTTGGGCGTATAACCAGGTATGCGCAGCATACAAGCCTTCAAGCAAAAAGTACTTGTACGCCCCGCGTACTCGGTCTGATGGGCTTTGTGTGTTTGGGCTAGCTTTTAGCATTGGATTGCTTAGAGCTTTGTTGGGCCATTTGTAAACAATTGTTTAGACTAGAAAATGTTATTAGGCTTTAGGATAAGGCCCAAATAAGGGTTTGGGCCCAATTTGGAAATTTGGACCATAAGTAGGCTTTGGATGGTTTTTGGTTTGTGGGCCTTTATAATTGAGAGTTTAGGCCTTAGTCTTGGACCAAACTAGGGGATGGTTAAAATAGTCGTTTTACCCTATATATGGATTATTTGGATATGATTTGAGTAACACCCGGTTTAGAAAGTGCTGGGTTGTGGTCTCGGAGGCTAAGGGTAGGGGGATTACGGTCTTTTATGGGTCTCGGGTTTTAACAAGAAGATTTTAAGTCTTAGGCATGTAGCTAGGAGTGTAGGGCGTCTCACTACCTTTTCGTGGATATAAATTTCGTCGGAAATGGACTTAGAACGAAGAAGTTATAGTAATTTAAAGTTGTTGACAGAATTGGTCCCTAGATGGAAAAACTTGCATTTCATCCCTTGCATGCAAAGTGGTAAAAGCGTGAGTACACCCAGCGTAATATGGGGTACGCCTAGCGTAGAGATGGAAAGTGGACGCGGGAGGCTCGGGGCAGTATCCCCAGCGTACTGTAATTACGCCCATAGTAGTGCCCAAGACCTTCAAACCATAATTATGCACTATTTAAGCAACTTAAGACCCAAGGCTCTTCATCCTTTCAGCCTCCACGGTACCTTAAGCTCTTTTTCGAAATGCTAGCCCATATTGGTGTGTTCTTGTGAGTTGGTAACCCTTTTGAGAGAATTTTGGTGTTGCTTTGGTGTTTTGGAAGAGGAAGAAGTTTGAAGAAGGAGCAAGGATTCAAAGGGAGCTTGTAGATGCAGGGGACAAGGTCCTAGTCAGTTTCCAGACTGTGGTCCGATGCAGTTTCCGGACTTCAGTCCAATGCAGAGGGCAAGGCCCTGGTTAGTTCCGGACTTTGGTCCGATGCAGTTTCCGAACTGTGGTCCGATGCAGTGGGCAAGGCCCAATAGTTGTCTATATGTTATTGTATGGTATGTGGTAGTTTGGGGGAGCTCACTAAGCTTCATGCTTACAGTTTCAGATTTTGGTTTCAGGTATTCCCGCTAGCAAAGGGAAAAGCTCAGGTTGATGGCATTGCACACACCACCGCTTCAGTTTTATCCTAGGAGTTTTATTCAGATATTTTGATATGATTGATACAGTATTTGTTTTGGCACAGTTACTATGACTTTTGAGTTACTTATTCCATGGTTCTTATTATGTATGATATTCGATGATGTGACATCCCAAAAATCACGGCCAGAAAATACCGATTTTTGTTTATGCTTTATAGAAATCAGAGTTCTTCTTTTAATAAAAATGTTGCGGAATTTGTTCCCAGAAAAACATGATAAATACGTTATTAAAACATTTTCGACGAAACATATTTTATTCATTTCAAAACGTTTGGGATGTCGTCGTTAATACAGAAACATAAGCATAAACAGAACTTAAATTTATTTACACTAGTGATCTACATCTCTTTAAATCTCTCAGTGTAATGTGACTTCATATCAACACCTGTGATATAAATAAACTGAGTGGGTCAAGTTGGGAAACCTGGTGAGTACATAGGGTTTTCAACCCACAATAATATAATTATTATGTTTAAAAAGTCAAACAATCAACCCAATTACCCATCCCCATTATCTTCTTCATTCTTAAGGATCTACCCTAAGAATCAGCTATTTCTCATTCATTCATTCCTAATGATCATCCTAAGGAAAGAACATGAAGTCCATTGTTGCCAATGACACATTGGTCAAGCGCAGCTGCTAATCTTGTCACTTAGGCGCAGCTGCCAGAATTGGGACATTTTCTATGAGGCGCTTCTGTCGGTATTGACCTTTAAACGCTATTGTCATGGTCATAAGGCTCCCTATTAGGCGCAGCTGTCGATACTGTCCTTAGAGCGCAACTGCTAGGACGTTTACCATAGATCTAAAACATCTACGGGTTGTGGCGCAGCTGCCAGTGCTCATCTATAGGGTACTAGGTCCACTGCTGCCAATGTATACCCATAGGGCACTAGGTCCATGCTACTAATGTTCCTATATATCAACTTTTATCGCTCATTATTCATCTACCCATGTTTTACCCAACATATTTTGTAGATATAAAATACTTTATACAGTTTACATCATTTAAAAC